CCCTCTCCCTCTCTCTTTCCTTTCCTCCCTCCCTCCTTCCTTCCCCCTCACCCTCCCTCTCTCTGCTGGGGAGGAGGCGCCAGGGCCTTTGCACCTGGGCAAGCCCTGCCTGAGGCTGAGCGCACCCCCAGCCTGGAAGCTGTGAGCATTAAAATGTCTTCATTAAACACCTAATTTTTCCTGTCCTTCTCCTGTCCTCAGGATAACCCAGCCCCCTCAGTGTTCTAGGAGGCTACACCTGCTAGTCATCTTTGTCATTTATTCCAGTTAGTAACTCAAACAAGGGCAGAAAGCCATAGGATTTAACAGATCTGGAAACTTGGTTTCATCTTGATCTAACAACCAGCTTCGAATGATGACCATCAAATGATGGTCGGAACTAAAACCTTTGTCTGTTTTAAGGCCCCATCTACCCATAACTTTTCTCTAAGCACCAGAAATCATCTTTCCTTCTGTTATTTTCCTCTTGTAGTATTTTTTATTTTATTTATATTTATTGGTTTTTTTGAGACAGAGTCTCACTGTGTAGTTGAGAATGACCTGGAACTCACTGTGTAGCCCAGGCTGGTCTCGAACTCACAGTGATCCTCCTGCCTCAGCCTCTTGAGTGCTGGGATTATAGGTGTGCGCCAACATGCCAGGCTTTAGTTTTGTTTTGTTCTTTTGGTATGGGGATTGAACTTGGGTCCTTGCACTTGCAAGGCAGGCCACCGAACCACAGAGCTAAGTCCCCAGCCCCGCTTTAGCATTTTTTATATATATAATGATTGTGTTCATTATAAGCAAAGAGAAAGAAATCTAAAATTGAAACTTCTTCCCAGGTATAATTTTGAAATACATATTTTCAACTCTAATAATTCATTGCTCTAGCATTTTAAAAAATATAACAAAACTTTTGTGGCTAAACAACAGAATCCTATAACACTGCAAAGAACCTTGACTGTGGAGGAGTGGTAGAGGTAAAGATCTTGACGCTGTCTGTAGGTATAGGCGTTTGGGTGAGTTACATCTCCACTCGCAGGCATGCCACTGCCTATGAAGAATTCTTCCCTTTCCGTGATGGCTCACTGTGCTGTTCGTTGCTGTTTTCTCCACCAAGGGAAGGTAATTGGTCCCCGCCTTGTTCTCTGTAGGTCATGGCCATCGCCACCTTGGCTGCCTGTTACAACAATCAGCAGGTGTTCAGAGGGGTGGTGAAGATACGCAAGGGCCAGGCCGTGACCCTGATGATGGATGCCACCAACATGCCGGCTGTCAAAGCGATCATATGCCAGTATATGGAAGAGGTGGGCTCTGTTGAACGAGTTGTGGCTGCTTGTGTGATTGAGACAGTGTCACTGTTCATCACGCCACGCTTGGGCCTTAGGGGATCCGAAGGACTCACTGTGCTGGGTCCAAGAAAATAGGAGTTGGTGCCCTTTAAAAAGCTGTGTGCCCGGGAGGTGAGCCGAGCTGCAGCGGCCCTGGTGAGGGTGAATGAAGGAGGCTGTGGGGCGGGGCCTCTTGGAAGACCTTTGCTTTGATGATAATGGGATGGAACCCAAGACCTTGTGCATGGGAGGCAAGCGCTCGTCCACTGGGCTACCTCCCGGCCCCAGAGTCCCACGCTTTGCGGGGAGCTGCTGCTCGGCTCAGCCGTGCGTGTAGCTCACCCAGCGTGCATGTCCGTCCCGGGTGAATCCCATCGCTCAGGCCCCACCAAGAAACCACAGCAGGACATTTAGACAAAGGAAGACCCAAGCTGCAGTCATCTCTATTCTTCTGCAAATCTCGTTTCAAAGGCCGAAGCCACCTGGAATGCTTGACGCACTTGAGCAAGTCAGGTCACCCGTGGAGAGGGTTTCAGATGTGCCTGGGCTTCTTAGCCCCTCTGGTCTGTGGGCGCCGCAGGGATGGTTCTCGGTGGATGTGACTTGTCTGCTCCCTCAATAGCACCCTGGGTAAGGCCTGGGTGGTGCGGCCAAGGTCCTCAGGCCAGGTCTTCCTCCAGATGGGGGACTGGGTTGGGGGATGCCAGGGATTTAGCTCAGTGACATTGCGCCTGCCTCGTAAGCACAAGGTCATGAGTTCAACCCCAATCCAAAAAAGAAAAAAAAAAAGATGGGAGGCTGTGGAGTTTGTGGAGACACAGAAGGCCCCCTCGCTCCTCAGCCTGAGCCCCTCCGAGGTCACCGCTGTCGGGGTTTGTGACCCCTCCACTTGGCTGTGTACTTGCAGGAATGTAGTTTGTGAGAGCGTTTTCATTTGAACAGAGCCCTACAGAACTGCAATTCCCTCTGATTTCTGTCCGATGTGGCGCTTCCTCCTTGCCATCCACCTGACAAGTTTTGGACATTACCACTTCTACCGATAGAGGTTGAAGAGAAAACCAAGTCTTAGTAGTATTAACTAAGTAGTGAAAGTACCCGGCCATTCATTGGCCAGAATGTTGCTGCCATTGACTCTGGCTCTCCACGTGGCTGGCACTCTGTAAGTTCAGAGATGGTGTTGTTTTTGCATTTTTATTTTGATCACTGATTCAAAAGCCATTTTTTAGCCGGGCTTGGTGGTACATGTCTATAACCCCAGCACTCAGGAGGCTGAGGCAGAAAGCTCCCCACAATTTCAAGGCCAGCCAGAACTACATAGCAAGATCTTGTTTTGAAAAACAAATGGTTTTTAAAATTTATGGGCAAGTCTGTTGTTTATAATTTGGTCAAGGGCAAAGGTGGACTCCAGCTCCCTGACCGCCTACTTCTGTAAATATATTTTGTATTGGAATTCAGCCATAGCATTTTTCTTCTGTGCTTGCTTTTGTAACTTAAGGGCAGAGTTGAGTGTAGCTACATCAGAGGGTGGTTCCGAAGCTAAAAATAATCTTCACCCATTTAAGAGAAAACCTGCTGGTGTCTGGTCTAGGGCATCGGTTATTTCATATTCAGGAGCGGTGGTTCATGCCTATAATAAGGAGGATTGTGAGTTCCAGGCAAGCCTGTTTCACAAAGTGAAAATGACAGGGAATATAGCTTTTAAAATAAGGAAAGTTGCTCTAGTGAAACTCAAGGTGTTTTCAAGAAAATGTTAATTCTTGAGTTGGCTTGGCACAGAAGAGTCTTTGAGGACCTACAAGTCCCCAGCATCTGATGATGGCTTCTGTGTCCCACTAAGGACGGCGCTGCAGGTGCACTGTTACGGGCAGGCGGCCTCTGCTCGGTCCGGATGCTGGCTCTGACTCTACTCCTCGCTGCTGCCAGAGTGGCCGGTGCTGCGGGGAGGCCTGACCTATGGGGTCCCTCTGCAGCAGAGGGGCAGCTGAAGCGGCTTTGGGGACCTCGTGCGCCCAGTGCCCGCACGGCGGGGGGCGGGGGCTAGGGGTGCTTTGGACCCCGCACACCTGTCACAGCAGCAGCTCACCACTATTTCGGGGTAGAGGGAGTGCGCTCACAGACTCCCACGCCCTCCCTGCCAGAGTTTACTCTTGGCCAGGCTCTTGGAGCCCTCTTTGCTGGGCACTTGGGTGGGCGGCTTCTTAGAGGGCCTGCCCTGAAGCGGTGTACTGCTGTGACTGTGAAGTGGATGGGGGTTTGCTGTTGAGAATCGCTTTTAACCCTGGTCATCCAACCGGGTGACTCTTCCTCTCCTGGAAGCCTTTCCCTTGCAGCTTGTGACATTGTTTCTCCGGTAGCCTCTGGCCTTTGTCTTTTCTGGGGTCTTTCCTGCTGCTGCTCCTCCTCCTCCTCCTCCTCTCCTTAATTGCTGCTGCCCCACCCCCAGGTCTGACTTGTGCCTCAGGCTTGCTCACTGGGTAGCTGCTTTGTGGCTTCCCTCGCCTGTGCTGTGGCTTCTTCCTCCACGGCACACTCAGTTCCCCAGCTCAGAGCCGGGCCTGAGTGACGGTGCCATCTTGGAGGCCTCTCCAGTCTTCTGGTCCCTGTCCCTGCATGGAGCAATCCCCACGTCCAGCCGAGGCTGTCTGTGTCACCTTCTGGCCCAGCAGTCATCAGGCACATGAGGCAGAGGAGCCCATTCTGAGCCAGGAGCAGAAAAGAGGACACGACCGGGTCCCACCGTGCTTCCGCGGGCCCCTCTGCAGGGACCTCCTAGGCCCCAGTCCCAGCGGGTGGGGCACCCAGGGCACAAGACCTCCACCCTCACCAGCCTCTGGTGGACACATGCTATCCAACTTTAACTGGGGATTTAAAAAATAATAGTGTATTCATGCTAAGCAACTTTGTTTTTTATTTTAGTTTTGTGTGTTGGGAAAAGGGTGGCAGGACTAGCCATTGTATAGTCAAAGTTTGGGATAAACACATATTTTTAAAAGGCCTGCTTCAAAGCTGGGCAAGATGGCACATGCCTGTAATCCTAGCTACTGAGGCTGAGGCAGGAGTATCTTGAGTTTGAGACCAGCCTGAAATATTTAGTGAGTCCCTGTCTCCAAAAAATAAAAATAAAGCAGCTTGGGACTGGGGATTTAGCTCATTAGTTTCGCTGCCTGCCTCTAGTTTGATCTCTGTTACCAAAAGAAAGCAGCCTTGTCCTCACCCCGCCTTGAGCCCAGACCCAGTTCGGATCCTCCTTGCCTCAGCCTCTTAGCTGGCTGGCCAGCTTTTTCCTGTGTATCTAGAGGCCTGCTATGTGCCTGGCTTGGGGTGAAGGCCTCTGGGGTTACGGCAGAAGGCAGGAGGGGCCCGGTCAGGGCACCTCAGTCCCTTGTGGAGAGGCCGCGCGGGTCTCAGGGATAGGTGTGAGAGCCCTGTGGTGGCTTTGGGAGCAGGAGTGGACCTGGCCCTCAAGCAGAGAGGCTGGGGGTGCCCCAGGAGGGCGCGGGCTCTCCAGCTGCCACTGGCCTGGGTTTCCCACCACTGTCTCCCTTTCCAAACCTCGTCACTGTGGTCAGCCCCATGGAATCACGCCAGCTGCCCTTTCAGTTTGTAAAGGCCCCAGCCACCAACTTCTCAGAGATTAAAATAGGAAAGGGCGGCCAGTGCCCATCCTTGGATAAAAGGAGCTTGAGCTTCCAGACTGTCGCAGGTTGGTGTCCACCTCAGCACTGCTGCGGCCTGGCCAGAGGGTTCGGGGACCTGGAGGCAGCGTGAGCTTTGGGACCAGGTGCCTGGGTGGACACCCTCGCCCTGCCAGGTCACTTCATGTGTTCTGAGCCTTGGTTTCCTTGCCGGCGAGCTGGGCATAAAGTAGGAAGTAGCCCTGGAAGTCTGGACACGTGGTGCTTAGTTTTGTCCTCTCCCGTTGACAGATTTACCACAGGATCCCCAGCTCAGACCCGTCTTCCGATAAAACGAGGCAGATCATCTCCACCATCAGGACGCAGAATCTCCCCAACTGCCAGCTGATCTCCCGGAGCCACTACTCCCCCATCTACCTGTCGTTCGTCATGATCCTGGCCGCCCTGAGCTGGCAGTACCTGAGCGCCCTGTCCCAGGTCGCGGAGGACTACGTGCAGACGGGGGAGCACTGAGCCGTGCTTCTCTCGAACCGAGGAACTTTTGTCCAAGGATGGGGACTGGCTTTATGTTTTTCTTTTTCCTTCCTACTTTAATCTCTCCAAGAACTTAGAAACTGTGAAATGCATTTACAAAGAATGTGGGAATGAAAGCAGAGGCCGCCCTGCGCTAGGCGCCTATCCTCGCTGTGCTGTCAGGGCTGCCTGTGGGGTGCGCATGGGCACGTGGTCTCGTCCTGCGGGGAGCCTGCTGGAATGATAATGAAGTGTATTTCATTTAAAGCAAGCTTTGAGTATCACTTTCCTTCGGCCGGGTCTGGCCACTCAGTCTTTCCTTTCATTGGACTGAGGGTGGCAGATAGGAATGCTGGCAGCTCTCGGTTCTGTTTCCGTGTTTCCCGAGAATGCACGCTGGGGGGGAATAAAAGCTGGACTCCTGGTGTCCTCATCAGAGGGAGCGTGGCTTTCAGAGATGCAGTGACACTGTCCCTGGCCGGTTTCAGAAGTGGGACCACCACGCTGGCAAAGGCCCGACCCCCCCACAGTGGGGATTTTTTTTCCCCCATTCCCAGGGCCTTTATACTGAGCTGCATTTCCCAGCTCTTTGTATTTTTCATTTGGATACAGGGTCTTACTAAATTGCTAAGTTGCCCAGGCTGGGCTTGAACTTATGATCCTCCTTGCCTCAGCCTCCCAGGAGTGTACCACCATGCCCAGCAAGACAGACTTTTAGCATAGAGTGTCATGACTGCATTTATCAAATGTATTCGAGGAACAAGGCATTTTATCAGAAGGGACACAGCCCCTGCTTGTGGGGCTGGCGGTCACTGTTCCGCTTTGGTCAGTCACCACTTTCCCTCTCTCACCTTCTCTACTTTGGGCAAATTCATTTTACTTTTTTGAGACAGCGTCTTGCTATGAAGTTTAGGCTCGTTGCAAACTACTTTGTAGCCCAGACTGGCTTCGAACTTGCAGCGATCCTCTTGCCTCAGCCTCTGTGATTACAAGTGTGTGTCATCATGCCTAAGTCACATTCTTTTGGCTGCACTGAGAAATCTTAAGATGTTTTTTCTCCCAGCTTTTTTAACACTGCAATCTCAAGGTCAAAAGATGTTTTCAGGTTTGGGCTGGAAAGCGGAAGGGTAGGTAGCCTGGTCTCTTGTGAAGCTGGCTGAGCTCCCTCTTCACCCAGCACGGTTGAGTTTAAACTCGGCACTGTGGCTCCCCAAGATTCTCCATGAGGCTGGTGGGGGGCTCTGGAAAGAACCATGGGTTGGGAACCAGTGTGGGGGGAGATCGACTCGAACCCATGAAGGTCCAGGTGTGTGAGGTCTGCTCTCACTGAAATACAAGGTGGAGGCAGGAGGGTGATTCATCGCCACTGCCGGAGGCTGAACTTCAGAGCTCAGGTGGCCACACGCAGGAGGGCGCACAATGAGGGGCAGAGGGACGTGGGCTGGGCTCACTTTCAGATCAGTCTGGAGACAACACAGCCTGAGGCCAGCGTTCGTCCCTCCCGAGCTCTGTCCGGTTACCTGCCGGGCTTGCTTCAGAGCCACCCTGGGGGGACCAGCGGACACTGAGCTTAAGGGACGCACCCGTGGCCGTGTACCGCGCACCGTGGGTGACTGCGGCACTCAGCTGGATTTGCAGACAGGGAAGCGGACTTTCTTAGCACGGCCCTGGGAATGACTGGCTCAGTTCCTTGGTTCACCTGAGGCCCAGTCTGGGACAGCTTGTCGCCATGCGAGGTGAACTTGCCAGACACCACTGTGGATGTGAGCTGGACTCACCCATGTTTTCCTAGTTCTTGAAATGGAAGGCTTTAATTTGGGCTTTCAGAGGAGGGGGTAACAGAATTGGTGTGCTGACTCTGATTTAATTCCACTAAAGCTCACGGAAGAGGGCACACCAAAGCCTCCCTGGACCCACCTGGGGACGTCACACTGTGGCTTGTGGGTCTCCTGGGTCCCTTTCAGCCACATAGCAACGTGATTCTAACATCACCAACGTGCACAAAGATCTTGGCTCTCATTTCTTGCATAGCTCTTGGAAAACTATCGTCCTGAGTATTATCTCTTCTAGTTTTGCCAGATAAAACAGGCTGCCCAGTTGTCTTGAGTGACCTCTGAGATAAAATATGACACCCAAACAGGAGGGTTTATTGTGGTGTGGCTCCGTTTGTAGGTTTCAGTCCATAGCTGGCCAGCTGCCATGGCAGAGGGGCATCGCAAAGGGGACACAGTCTGTGGCAGGCACAAGGCAGCAGAGCAGCCAAGTGACAACAGTGCCCTGTTACTGTCCCATATGTTCATCCAGGTTCGTGCACTTAGGGCAGGCAGCACTCACACCTGTAATGAATCCCACCAGGACCCGTCCCAGCGTCTTATGCTCTACCCCAGTATCACTCTATACCCAGTGACCGCTACAAAGCCCCACCTGTGACTGCATGAGGTTCTGGGGGCCATCTAGCTATAAGCTATGACACCAATTAAACTTGATTTCCAGAGGGACATTTTATTTTTTTAGAATACCCATACCGCAAACAAACTAGTCATTTACTCGAGATTCAGGCTTCACTGGGCATTCTGTTTGCATCCACCAAGTCTGGCTGCCCTTCCCTGCTTCCTGCTTTGAATGTAATTGACCAGGAGCGCTCTCTGCATCGTCTGCGTGCATCTCACACTGGAGGATGTAGAGGGGCAGAACCTAGGACAGTAAAGTTTCACCAGCTGGGGGCTTATGTAGATGGGGGTAAACTTTCCCCCTTTGGGTGAAGCCCATTCCTGCCCGACTGAGCTATCTCCTGAGGGCTTGGGCTGCTGTAGAAGAGAGGGCTGGTTACTCGTGGAAGTGTTGGAAACTTGAGCTCTAAACCCAGGATTCTCAAACCTCAAGTCTTATCGTAGTAACTTACCCTCCAGGACCAGAGACTGTCAACCTGGAGACCACTCTTTTTTCTTTTTTTAAGACAATTTCATTACCTAGCCCACACTGGAGTCAAATTTGCAATCTTCCTGCCTCAGCCTCCCAAGTGCTGGGATTGTAGGCATGTGCTACCACACCTGGCTTCAAACTCCAAGTTCCTCAAACTTCAGTGTGTCTAGGAATGACCAGCATCTTTTTGAAGTGTCACCTTGGTCTAGCATTCATTCTAACCCTGCATGGTCCCAGGTGACAGCCATGCTGTTGGCCTGTGGGCCATTTGGAGTAGAACGTCTCTGAGCAGCCACAGGTGTTAAGAGTGGAAAAGAAGCCATGTGTGGTGCTACACAACTCTAGTCCCAGATGAGGCAGAAGCATCGCAAGTCCCAGGCTGGCCTGGGCAACTTAGCAAGACCCTGTCTCAAAGTAAAGTGGAGCCAGGCTGCAGGCCAGTGGTAGTGCTTCATCTAACATCTGCAGGGGCCTGGGTTCAGCTCTGGCCCTGCAAGAAAAAGGAAAAAGGTGGGCATCTACATCTGAACCGTCTACTTGCCTTGCGCTCGGACAGCACTGAGAGGACACTGAACTACTGAGTGCAGGGGCAAGGGATGGCCCCGGGGTAACTGAAGGATGAGACCTGCTTTCTACTTGCCTTGCGCTCGGACAGCACTGAGAGGACACTGAACTACTGAGTGCAGGGGCAAGGGGTGGCCCCGGGGTAACTGAAGGATGAGACCTGCTGTCACACGGGTAACTCAGGGTGCTGACAGCAGTGTGCAAATCCTGGCCCCTCTGGCCCCTTGGCTGGCTGGGGTGTAAGGGAGTTGCAAGTGAGGAGGCCAGGATGGAGTTCAGTTGGGGAGCAGGTCAGAATTCAGAGGATCCGAATAAAATAGGAATTTGTGACTTTAGTTAACTTTGTTAAATGCTTTAAACTGGGAAGCACCAGAAGGCTGAGGCAGGAGGATCGCAAATTCAGGCCCAACCTGGGCAACCTAGAAATCTAGCAAGACCCAGACTCAATAATAAATGAAAAAAAAAGGTGGAGGGGAGGGAAGGAGGTAGGCTGAGGATGTGACTCAGTGCAAAGGTCCTGGGCTTAATCCCCAGTGGGAGCTGGGGAAAGTTCCATTTTTCCTGCAATGTTCACGGTTTTTGTGGCACTGGGGGTTAAACAGAGTGTAGTACCTTCGAGCTATCCCAGCCTTTGCCAGGTTGTTCAGCGCTTACCGCATGGATGCAGCTCTGCAAACTCTGGGAGTTGCGCTTCCCAGAGCCAGGGAACTCCAGCTCAGGTGGGGAGTGATGGGTGCTCCCAGACCGGAACTTGGTGCCAGTGCTGTACTTTGTGTTCTCCCTCAAGCACTGGCGCAGTAACCCTGGCAACGAGCGCCCTCAGCACGCTGCACAGGCATCCTGGGAACGGAGCCCGGAGGGTGGCAGCTGAGTGTGTGGGGTCCGCACACCGCGCTGGGCTGCTGCTGGCTTGTGGTTAAAATCATGGGCGGCTGTCCCTCTCCGAATGGGGCAAGCGCGTCAGGCTTGGGAACAGTCCTACAGGGAGATTCAGAGGGGGGCTAAGGAGGACCCCTAGAGAAGAGCGGAGGCCGTGGCTGGAGAGGGTGAGCACAAGGCTACAAGGGCCACACAGAACACAGGCCCGGGCCATGGATGCGTTCGGACTCCAGATGCCACCAGAACAGACCAGCTGAGAGGAGACCTTTTATTGACAACTGTTCCTTGTTAAACTGTCAGAGGGAAGCACTGATTTTTGTTTTACACAGTAAAAGCTAGTTTCACCGTGGTAGTTGAGGTCAGCAGGTCTGCCAGCGAGTCCTGCCCACGTGACCCAGTTTAGGCCACACGATCAGGAGGGGCCGGGAAACTAGTGCCGCTTCTACAACTGTTCAACTTGTTCATTCACATGATCAGCTGAGGTGCACAGAGTAAAACTTCGATTAAAAAAGGATCAGCCAAGGCCGAGGCCAGCCAGAGAGGGCTTGCGACACGGGAGGGCGCTGTCTCCAGGGCTGCCACCAGCCCATCGAGGGGCTACCTTCTCGGGGGGCTGCCGGTGGGCTCCGCCCTGCTGCCAGGAGGCTGTGCTTGCTCCTCTGGAAAACCCGCGCTGAGGCACCCGTGTCTGTTGCCGCTGGAGAAGCTCGGGTCAGGGTGGGAGGGGCGGCAGGCAGAGGCTACAGGGGAGGACGCGGTGGCCATCGTCCACACGCAGGTTGGGGGCCTGGGTGGTCTCCTCAGAAGACAGCTGTGTAGGAAGGTGTGGGTGACCCAGCCAGGCCTGCAGGCCCCACCAAACACCTTCTGTGCCCCACGTGAATCCCAAGAATAAAGGCGTTCCTGCCCGTCTCGCCCCAGGCCAGCCCGGCCGGCAGATTAGAACCTCCCCCAGTATTGGTCAGTGCGCGGGATTCCGGCCACGATTTCAGACTCGATTCCACAGTGATCCTCTCCTCGGATGATTTTAAAGAAGCCTGGCGAAGAAAAGGAAGAGGAAAGTATGTCTTGGGTTTTTACCAGGGCCCCCATTCTTGGCAAGGAGGAGGCTGCACTCACCACTGTCTCCCCAGTCCACGTTCCAGGAGTTGCCCACCAGCCAGTAGGGGACGTTGTTCTCCTTCCCCCAGCCCAGGATGCGGATGGCATGGCCTCCCAGCATCTCTCCAGCTACATGCTTGTACACGCCTGAGGGAAGGAAAGCCGGTTCAGGCCAAGCCCAGACCCCTGGCTCCCGAGGCACCTGGCTGTGGCCTGGTGGTTGACAGCCGCCCGCCTGCCTGCGGGCCTCAGGTGCTGCACTCTTCCCTAGCGCTGTACAGTGGAAATACGACCAGAGTACCACCGCTCCAGCCGGCGGCTCGCACGGACTGGGGGACAATCTGGGCGTGCGCTGCTGGGGACGGAACCAGGGCCTCACTGCTCAGCAAAGCTCTCTGCCACTGAGCGACAGCCTCGGCCCTCTAAATTTACTTATTTAGTTTTTGGTACTGGGGATTGAACTCGGAATCTTGCGCTTTTGTGGCAGGCAGTGGCACCACTGAGCTAAATCCCCTGCCTCTAAATTTATTTTTGAATGCTGGACACACTCAAATGTGTACAGTACAAAAGCAAAGCTCCACAGAAAAACACTCTTGGTTCTCTTTAAAAACAACAGTTCGAGTAAATGATAATGTATGTATGTAATACAATGCTAAAGGGTCGGTGATGTCTTCCATCTCAGAGACCACGCAAAGGTTCATCTGTCAAAGAACTGCGCGGCTTAGAGTTTGAAACCACAGCTCTGGGGACCGATGCATAGGGCAGAGAGGACAGGGGTTGGTGATGGCTGCTGTTGGGGGACTGGGTGGACGCCGGCCACACGCTCATGGAGCCAGTCACCCAGGCCTCCCGACAGGGGACTCAGCTGAACCGGAAATGCACCTTCAGGATCACGGGTGGGGAGTGTGCAGAGCCGCCATCACAGGGCCAGGCTGCAGCTCCGTGGTAGAAAGCTTGCCTAGCACGTGTGTGGGGCCCTGGTGTCAGTCTCGGCACAGAGAAAGACAAACAGAATTGCTGTCCCGACTGTTTTCCTTGCCCGGTCATCTTGTCTTGTCCCATCCTTATTTGCCATGGGTTACGAGCAGGGGCAGTAACATTTAACGGAATGGCAGTGAGAGGAAGGGGTCTCTAAAGAGCTCCATGGGACAGGGACGGGGACCGTTGTTTCCATCGCCATCACCCAGAACAAGGTTCTCCTCACTCATTCAGCACTGGGAGTGAGGTGCGACCCCAGGGCTTTGCAGACAAAGCCAAAGCTGAATGAAATGAGCCACCAGGCCCGCACTGTGCCAGCAGAGACGTGGACAGGACACAGGCAGGGACAGAGTAAGCGCAGGTCCTACTGGAGGAACAAGGCCACAGTTAGAGCGACAAGGAGGAACGGGAGACAGCAATGCAAGGAGTGCAGCTGGCCCGACACCTGCACCCCGGCCTCTCTGCCTCAGCACGCACCTGTCTTGTACATCAGGAAGTCTGAGAACACGGTGAAGGCGCCCTCCACTGGGCCATTTTTGTAGATCTCCGCCATGATCTCCTTCTCGTTACTGGAGACACTGTAGGAATCATACCCTGGGGACAGCCCCCGCGAGGCAGTGAGGGCGGCAGCCCCCACAGGAGGACAGGAGAGCCTTCACTAGGTAAGGAGCATGTGGCCCCGGGCTGGCAGTGATCCCTGGTGGGGGCAAGGGACAGAAGGCCCTGGGAGAGGCCAAGGGGACCGCAGAACACGAGCACAAGCTGCTGCTTGCAAAATGAGGGGTCCAGTTCCTTGCAACTAAAGGGGTCAAAGCTGGATTTTGGGTACAACAGCCAGCTTTGTGGGAAGGCTGAATTCCCCGTCCTCCCCTTCCTGGTGTTCCTGGATCCTGCTTTAATGGCCCCATGCCACCCGGCCCAGCCCACCATACCGAAGTGCTTGTCTTCCGTGTAGGACGGGGAGTAGCCGGGCTCGCAGGCCTTGCTGCACTTGGGGGTGTCGCCGCCCTCCCCTGTGCACTGGGGCCGGGTACCATTCACGTGGTGCTCGCAGGGAGGGATGGAGTAGGGTCTGCAGCCTGGGGCAGAGGCGAGCGTTCACTGGCTGCTGCCACTTGTCTCCAGCTTTCAGCCTTGCCCTCTGCCCAACCCTCCCACACGAATGGGAAAGAAGCTGCCATGGCTCCCTGCTTAGAGAATTCAGGGCAGCAGACTCGCACTCACCCACGTGGGAGTCATACAGGCCACCGGAAACCAGGCCTTTTTTTGTCCAGTATTTCCAAGCTGCAGAGGGATAGCCACCATTACAGCTAAAAAGAAACTGCCGTCAAACTCACAGGGAGAGAAATCCCAGCTCCTCCCAGCCTCTGCAAGTTCAAGGTCACCCTGGCTGCATGGTGCTCACACCAGAGCCAATCTGCACTTCCAGGGACTCGGCCCAGTTCTCATCCCTGTCCGGGAGGACCCTCGGGGGACAGGAGACTCTCGTGTTTGTGTTTGCGTCTACGCCCAACAGCTCTACGTGCTCTTGCTTCTCCAACAGTGACTCTCAGCCCACAGCAAATCACAACTCCAAGATGCAGCCCCCAAACACTGCATGGCAAATTGCAGGCACAGTTCCTGAGTTTTACATTTCATGGCTGACTTGCTCTGTACTGTAACAGTACCGTCTGAGCCAGTGGCCCGGGTAGGCATGAGACATATAGGTGGGCAACCAGAGCAACCGACCCCAAAGTGCCTGTGCTCTTTCCACGTATCCTTGCTAGCAAATTCACTACCCTACTGGGTCAGTATTAGCTAAGCGGCTATACCTGTAACCCTGTAAGTTGACTGTACTCTGACCCATGTTGTGTCTACACTAATTTTGCTGTATAAAATATTCTTGACAAGGAGTCTCACTAGCCACTCACTTGGGATCCCTCCTGGAAATCCAGGACTATTCTTCTCCTTAATTCCAATAAAACTCTAACTCCTTCTAAAAAAATTTTTTTCATTCCGTTCTGAGCAGAGGGTAAAATATCGAGTGTTCTTCCTTCTGCATCGCCCATTCATGCAGAGTATCCACGCTGTGTGCGCTACCTGCCTGGAGTTGCGGTCACCATCACAGCTGTGGATCTAGTAGGTGAGGTGCTGCTGCGCTTGTGACACACCCAGTGACCCTGACTTGACTGAGGAAAGGCCCCAGAGGGATGCAGCCAGGACACAGTGCAGAGCAGCTTCTAAACCCAGCGGTACCCGGGTGGGTGGGTAAGGACCACCATACTTAAGAAAAAGCTCCAGTGACCGATTTCACGGCTTGGGGTGAGGCCAGGGCAGGTTTTTTTTTAAAAAACTCTCAGGTTTTTAAATCTACAGCAAGAGTCCAGCACACTGCTCAGACCCAGGGCCAGATGGTGGCAATGCTGAGCTCTTGAGTTAGGTTTTTGGAGACAGGGTCTCACTAGATGGTTCCAGCGGGTCTTGAACTCACTGTGCAGTCCAAGCTGGCCTTGAACTTGCAGCAGTCCTCCTGCTCAGCCTTCCCAGTGCTGGTATTACAGGTGTGCACCACACCTGGATTCTGAGTTAAGCATTTAATTCAGTGTGACCCGACTATAGATAAGGAAATGGGTGCAGGGAGAAGACATTTCCCCAAGAAGGAAAAGGAGTAAGTAAGGACAAAAACTTGACTAGCAAGCAATGCCTAAAATCTCAGCACTCAGGAGGATGAGACAGGAGGATCGCCCTGAGATGCAGGCCAGTGGGACTATTCAGTTCAGTGAGTTCAAGGAAGCCTAGAATATGTAAGACCTTGGCTCAACCTCCCCCTCAAAAGAACCCCAGAAACCTGACTGGAGCTCAGAAATGACCGCACCCTCTCTGAACCCATGGTTTATCAGGATCAGCAGCAGCCACACCAGGACTCTCCCAGACACCCCAGACCCCCCTCACGGCACGGCCCAAGACTCACCCATCTCCACACGCCAGGCCGCAGCAGCTGAGCAGGTCCTCCGCAGACACCTCCACATTGACGCGCCCGTTGGTGTGGATGCAGACCCGGTCGGACATGGCTCCCACAGCCCCGAACGCCTGAAGGACAAGGCTCGCTGGCAAAGGCCACCCGCCCACCCGGCTGGCGCCTTCCAGGAATGCAGACCCTCCCACAGCTGGTCCCCCAGGTCACTCAGGCTTCTGGGCTCACACTGAGCTGTGAAGGAAGAGACCTGAACGTTTCTGGGGAGCTTGGCTCGCATCTCTGAAAGAACATGGCTCACCTAGAAGCCAGATTCCGTGAGGGTCCCACTCCCGTGAGGCACGGAGAGCAGTCAAGTCCAGAGCACAGAAAGCAAAGAGCAGCTGCCAGGGCAGGGAGTTAGTGTGGATGCAAGGGCAAGGCGTTCTGTGGAGCCTGGGGTGAGACCGCCGCAGAGCACCCTGAGGCCCTAGCAGCGACCCTGCACCACGTCCCTGCCGCCTTCTGTGTGCGTGCGCCTGACAGCGGTGAAGACACCCGTAACACAGCGATTCGGGAGGCTGAGCCGAGGCTCGCAGGCGGCCAGCCTGGCAACTTCTGGGTCTGCTGCCCAGGTATAATGGCAAAGCACGGGCTGAGGCTGTGGCTCAGTGGTACAGGCCCCGTGGACTCCATCCCCAGCACCACTTAAAAAAAAAGGTTGAGGTGGTTTATTGCCTGTGGTGTACATTACCACAACTGAAAGACAAAACCTAAGACACACGCAGAGTAGCGCTGTTCACCGACCAGAGATGGCTCCACAGCCCGTGTACGTGGGAGCTGCAGTCTGCAGAGTGCCGTGCATCCCTCACATGCACCCCTGGCCGCAGGGATCATTCTCGCGCTGATGGACACTGGGACACCAGTGCCTTCCTTTTGTCACGGCCAGTCCCTCCCCAGATCCGCCCCTCTCCCCTCAGCCCTCAGGCGCCTCCATCATACCCAGCAGGAGCCGCAGGAGCCCTGGTCTCTGATCTCTTTGATGGTTGGGCAGTTGGGCCACTGTTCCCGGGCATCGAAGCTCTCGGGTAGGTCCATGTCCTCAGCAAACTGAACTCTGGGAAAGGAAGATCTCGCTGGACTCCCACCCTTCTGGATTGACACCACGCGCCCCAGGTCAGACATTCTTCTGCTGTCCGCACCCCGCCTGCACAGCTGCCCCACTCGCTTTTTTGGGGTACTGGGGATTGAACTCGGGCCCTTGCACTTGTGAGGCAGGCAGCAGAACCACTGAGCCAAATCCCCAGCCCCCCAGTTGCTTCTTAAATGCACTTTTAAATATTTACCTCATATTTCTGATTCTCATTTTATATAAGAGGGAACTGAACAATCAGATTCAAGGACAGGGTTTCATTCTATGGTCATGGCGGCTCCTGGGCTTTTTTTAGTCCATCCAGGCCTCATGTGCCATGCCTGGGGACCTCATCCCAGCCCTGACACCCCGTGGGGAAGCAGGTAGAAAATACCGGCACAAGGCAGCCCTGTATACACCTGAGGTGGTCCCTGCAGCCCGGGGGGCCTGGCCTGTCCCTCCTGGACCCACTGTCCCCAGGGGCTCTCACCTCTGCGGCAGCCTGGGCCCACCCAGGTAGGTGCCGCACAGCCTCTTCACGTAGCTCATGTCTGCGTTGTGGAAGTTGTGTCCAGCCTGGAACAGAGCCACACTCATGATGGTCAGCCACTGACAGAGGGCTTCCCGGGCAGTGGGTGGGTGCGCTCACAGCCCTATGAAAGGCCCAACTCGGGGAGACCTGGGTCCAACCCAGCTCAGAGGCAACAGTGACCCACGGGCACAGTGCTGGCCCCAGGCCTGTGGATCTTCCTGGGTCTGCTGAGAAGAGACCCTCCTGGCCCTGCACAGCTCCTTCCTTGCTTGTCAGTGCCTGCAGCACCAGGCTCAGGGCTGAGCAGCAAGCAGAACATGCACGAATCACACACTCACATCGTGTGCGTGCACACTACGCAGACGCGCACCCCTTCCACAGCGGGCTTCCCAGGCCCCTTCCTCCCCCACACCCGCACATGCACACTGAGCGGGACAGACCCTGTGCCTGGAGAGAGGACGCTCGGATGCTGCCCACCTGCCACGTCGTGTTCTGCTTGTTGATGTAGTTGACCAGCTCGTCCGACAGCGGGTGGAACCACGGTGCGTTGTAGGCACTGGTCAGCACCAGCAGGAAGCACAGAGGGGCCAAGGACCGCCACATCCTGGAGCTGGGGTGTGGACCCACCTGCCAAGGACAGCATGACACAGGAGGCATCAGGACGGGCAGCCCACAGGCACGAGGTGTGGACAAACCACGTTCCCACTGTGGGTTTTTTTTTGTACTGCAGATCAAACTCAGAATCTCTGGCTTGCAAGGCAGGTGGTGGCAACACAGCTAAACCCCCGGCCCCCGCTGTGGTTTTTGAGACAACGTCTTGCCAAGTCTATACTGGCCTTGACCACACTAGGTAGCAGTCCTAGCCAGACTTGAACTTGCACCAATCCTCCTGCAGTCACCCTTCTGAGCGCTGGGGTTACAGGTGTACACCACCGTGCCCAGGGCAGTAGGTATTTAAGTCAGAAGCTTATGACAGTGAAAGACGTATCACACACACGGGAGGGGTTAAAATTGAGGGGTTCCCGAGGCGTGACCCTGGGCCACACACCTTTTCCCGTGCAATCACTATATTTTTGATGAACCCCAAGTTCCCCTCCACACCTCATGCCTGGAGCCAGGATAGAGACAGCCAGGGACTCTCTTTTGACTATGCCGAGTCTGGAGGCCCCCCCATTGCGTTTTTTTTTTTTTTTTGGAATGGGGATGGAACTTGGGGCCTCAGGTTTGCCAGGCAGGCACTGTGCTGCCGAGCTACGTCCCTGGTACCCTCTCCACTATTTCATGGCACATGAATCTGTTGGACAAAGTATGGGAGACCGCTCCCAAGTTAGTGATAAAGACAGCAGCGCCACCTGTGTGCAGCGCCCTAAGAGAGCAGTGGGCTAGGCAAAAAAGTAACACACAAAATGCTCACAGCCAAGTATGGTGGTGCATGCCTGGGCTATGCAGTGAGACTGTCTCAAAACAACCAAAACCAAAAGAAGAACAAAAAAAAGTTCACTAGCCCCTTGCCCAATACACTAACACAAAACACAGGGTGTGTGCCAGTCCAGGAGATGGGGGCACCAGCAGAGGTGGACAGCTCCTGAGTCCTCTGGTTTTTCCAGTCTGCCAAGGGCTGCTTCTGGCGCCCCAGAAAGGAAATGCTCACACCAATCCTGTCATGTGACCCTAGACTGCAAGTCAGGAGACCAGCAGTTCCCAGCTTGTCAATGAGTCATGCTCTTGGGCAAGCAGCTAACCAGAGCGAGATGGGCTTCCTGGGTGCCTGGGCCGCCGTGTCAGTAGGCGGCACAAAAGAGAACGCCTGCAGGGTTAAGTCAGACGCAAGAGAAGTTTTAAACTCAAATCCACCTGTAGAACAAGTGTGTGAGGACTGACTGTTCTGGGAAAGAGTATTTAATCCCCAGTACTACAAAACAAAACAGAGATTGATAAATAAAAATGGCTAGCCTAGTACATATTGTGCTTGTCCCTCAATAAATGTTTGCTAAAAACTTAAAAAAAAAAGAAAGAAAGAAAGAAAGAAAGAAAGGCTGTAAAGGTAGCCTGGCGCTCCCCAAGTTCAATCCCCAGGACAACCTAAAACATTCTAACCTGGGGATGTGGCTCAGTGGTGGAGGTAGATTGCATGCTCAGCGTAAGGCTGTAGGTTCCATGCAAGAAATAAATCACCAGACTAGACAAAGAGTAACAGAAAAATAGGTTCAGTGACTGCTGAAAAACTACAAACAGCCAATGCAGATGCAAAACTGAATTCAACTGGGTGTAAAATCAAGAAGTTCCATGTAGCAGAACAGAGGGCCACAGCCTGGTGCTCTGCAAGAGTTAGGATGCTAGGAAGCAGACCCCGAGGTAGAGGTACCGCGATACCCATCCACCCACTGACGTCTGCACGCTGAGGAACAAACTGACCCCACAGCCGTGTTAGCCCCAAAATGCAAAGTCATGGGTACGCGAGTATTCGTTTCACTGTTCTAAGGATGGGAACAAAGGAAATGTCTAACACCAGGGCCCAAGTCCTCCTGCTGAGCGGGAAAAGTGCTTCGAACGCCTGGGTGAGGGGGTTGGGCAGGTCTGGGTTTCCCAGCAAGGCAGGAGCGGCCAGCAGGTGGTCAGGGAAGACTGCGTGTGGCAGCCACAGGGGCTCAGGGGTGGGCAGCCTGACCCTCAGCGTGGGGCTGTCAGGATCCCAGCGGTCCCTTGCACCCGCCAACCCTGTCGCCTCTGCCTGTCACACACACCCCCACCAAGATGCCATCACCGTGATGTGGCCCAGCCCAGGGGCCTCCTAATCTTGGGCTTTCGCCTCAAAACTGTGAGCTAAATAAACAAACCTGCTTTCTTTATGAGGTACCAATCTCAGGAGTTGTGTTATCATAATAGAATCCCACCCCCTCCCCCTTAAAAGAACATGTATTTCCAATATTCGTTTCTTTTTGGGAGAATAGCAGCTACGTCGTCAAAGATCCGCAGGCCCCAAACTGACCCAAGCCCACAGAAACGGTCCCCAAATGCATCCGTTCCAGTTAAGTCACTGACGCCAGTGTGGCTTCCTCCCTAACCTTTCTGGTTCCACCCACTCGTGGGCAGAGCACACCCCACATGACCCGCGTCAGGCCCCTGTGCTGTTAGTTCAAAGTGCTGCTGGGAGAGACGCTCAAGCCGGCTCCCGTCTTCTTTGGAGAACGATGACTTGCACTGCGGGCAGGTGGCTGCAGGTGAATGGGCATCCGCTGGGATCCAGGCTGCTGCACCATCAACCTGGGGCTCTGATGCTCCCGGTGGGGGAACAGGGGTGTCCCTGGGGACCTGGAGGGCTTGGCATCTGTTGTGATGTTAAATCATCAGCCAGATAGGAGGGTTTCCACGGCAACCTGCATTTTTAAAGTTCTTTAGCATCTGTGGTGGTGGAGAAGAAAGGCCCTGTCTCCCGGGCTGGGCAGCCCTGCATTCCAGCCTGGCCTCTGCCTCTGAGGCTCAGGTAGCAGACGAGGGAACCATGCACAGCAGAAGACCTGGGCACAGAGCCTGGGGTCACAGGTGCTACTGCGCTGCCCACCTGAGCAGCTCCACTTCCTCCTCCTCCAAGGCTGGGCCTGGCGAATGCAGTTCACGTCACACCTCCACTGCGAGAGCCAGAGTAAAAATGCACTTCTACTCCAGGATCCCGTGCAGCTAACACCAAAGGGCGTCCACCTTGAGGTCCTGACACTACCGAGAGCAGAATATCAGGCCAAACGTCCGTCCACAGTGATCACTGAATACGCGGGGGTGGAAGGAACCGGCTGCACTGCCAGCGAGATAGTCACGGGTTCTGCCCCTTCCCAAACAGCTGCCACTTTCTCTTCCCCTGGATTAGGCAAATACTTCCCTTTATTTGCCGAATCTGTGATTTCTCTAATTACAGAAGATGAACAGAAAGTCCTTATTTCACCACCAGCTCCTCTTCCAGGTGTGGGTGGATGGGCCAGGTGAGCCACTGCCTGGGCCACGTGGGTCCTGCTGACACCCCAAACCTTCCCCAGCTGGTCCCCGGTTCTCCTGCTCCCTCACTTTCCAGACGCCCTGGTTCAGTCTTGAGTAGGGACAAGGCCTGTCCAAGGGAGCCTTTCTGCCCAAGGAAAACCGTTCCCAGGACACCCGAGGCTGTCCCGGCACAGATATGGCGCTGGGACTCTGGCAGGAGACGGAATGAACACGGAAGAGAGACCTATGTCGTTCTTTTCATCCCAGAGAACAGGGCTGGCAGCCAGCGAGTTTGAGGAAGCTGCTCTCTTAGGCTTCTAGAGCCCAGGCAGATTGGATTCTAATCTGGAACAGACCAAGGCAAAGGGGATGCAGGCACCTAAATTCCCCACCACCCATGTCCACAGGACACCGGGCTGGCCCTGCCACAGTGGCCTCTAAAGTGCCCCCAAGCCTGGGTGCCCTCATCTTGCTGGGCTGCATCCAGCAACGGGCAGAGTGGTCAGGTTGGGGAAGGTGGGAAAGCAGCAGAATGGTGACGACCCGGGGGACCCAGCCCGGGAACTTGACGAGTTTCTTTCTGTCCCAGGAAAGCTTGTCTGGGCTGTCCCTGTCATTAACACTGCAGGACAGCCACACAAGAGTGGGCACACTTTCATTCCTCCTGGGCTTCCGTGTGTCCCGCGAGACCTCCACTCGGGCAGCCTGCGCTGGGGGCCCAGCCTGGAAGGGTCTGTCTTGCTTTGTGTCTGCTCCTAATGGAACAGTAGCAGATGCTTGGCTCAGCGCGTTAATTTATGTTTTCCCCACTGGAACACAGCTGAGAGCTTCTGGTATTTTACAGGACTCAAGATACAAGACACAGAATCTAAAATGGTTATACATGAAAAGGCTTAAGCAGAAAAGCGGGGCTGGGCTACTGCTCAGGTACAGCACCTGTGTGGGGTGGGTGTGGGGCCTGGGTGCTCTCCCTCAAAAGACACCCTTTAGACAAGTACCAAGGGCTTGGCCCCCTCGGCCTCCTCTTTCACCTTCGGAACAGAAGCCAGGCTCTATGTGGCGACTTCTGCGTGACCCAGGAAAGGGGAGCTAGGAGTACTGTGACCCAGCCCTGGCATCTTCAAAGGACCCAGAAGACCAACTCTGCGTCACCTACCTGAGCCCTTGGGCCAGTCACAGGTGCCCTGCCCACATCCAGGTGCAGCAGGCCCAGCCACTCACACTCCTTTCCCATGCCGACGTGCCCATGCACAGACACTGCTTATTAAGATCAGCCCCAGCACCCACGCTCTGCACACAGAAGAAAATTACTATCCCGAGCTTCTACTGTGGACACCATAAAGGACCTCAGCAGTTGAAAATGTTTTTTATTGTTGGTGGAAAACCAGACCGTGTGGGCAGTCAACATTCTGGAAAGTTCTGCAAGCTTCTGCCCCCCAGCTTTGCTCCCTGGCTCTATTACTGACTGAGATGCTGACAGGGCGATGCCACTTCCTGTGTCTGTTTCTCAAATGGGAATATCGCAAAGCTTTTAGATATCCCCTGAGAAATAATGAGGTTAGTGTTCTGGGCCTCTCCAGCTTGCAGGAACAGGCGGCTCTCTGATTCCTCTGCAGGGCAGATTGCTCTTTCTGGCTGGCTTGGGACCTGGCAGATAA